AGTGCACGACGACCCCCTGGGCTCACACCCCTCTGCCAGACCACCCACCACCTGCCCACCTCCCACAGAGACAGCCTTCCTGGGAAACCACCATCCTTCCCACTCTGTCCCTCCGACTGAGCCGCGGCACCGTCGGCAGCTTGCTCAGTGGGGACTGGGGGGTTCCCATGGGACACCCCATTGCTGCCACTCAAGCAGAGCTGTAGGACTTTCCCCCAACACCCAACATCAGGGAGGATCTGCTTGGCTGAGTGCAGGGACCGAGTTTGGGGCTTCATCACTCACCGACTGTGCACTCCCGCCCGTCCTGCTTCCAGCCAGGGCAGCATGCCAGGCCAGTGGAGAACCTGTGGGAGAGACCCAGGGCTTGTCAGCCAGGGCAGGGGGTGCCAGGGCCACTGCAGCTTTGCATGTGGCTTCATGGCTTTGGCCAAGGCGAAGCGATCACCGCTGCTTGTCCTGGCAGAGGGAAGGCGTCGCGACCCTGAGGGCTTCGCTGCGGAAGGAAACCAGCTAAATAGAAGGAAACTTCAGAGGCTGCAGCCCGAGCGGGCGGTGGGGCTGCATGGAGTGCTGGGAATGCCACTACAGAGCCTGTGATGGGTCTCTGATGCTCTGGGAGTGGCTCAAAGCTTTGCCAGCAACGCAGAAATAAGGCACCAAAGCGAAGGCAGTGGAAAGGCACCACCATTGACGGAAGACCAATGGGAGAGGCAACGCAGCAGCAAATTAACGGAACATCAACTTCCAAAGCCCTTTGGGGTTTGCTATGCCAATGTTTCCCCACGATGGAAGTTTTGCCAAGAATCCCATATCACCCCGTTGCCCTGTGCACTGGGGGTACCTTAAGAAATAACCTCTGGAGAAAGGGTCTAGATGCCCCAAATGCCCATGCCTGCCCCAACCACACTCCCAAGCATCACTCGTCTTTGTGCCCACACAATGCCAGGCTGTGGATCTCTGTCCATAGGAGGACAAATGGACACCAACCCTCTGGGCATGCTGAGAGGCCCCAGGAGATGGAGGGCACAAGTGGGGACCCCCGTGGCACCTACCTGCAGACGTTCTTGCCGTCGGGGTCGAGCTCCTGGGCAGAGCTCTGCACCCACAGCCACAGCTGGAGGCAGAGGATGGGCCGGGCGCTCCCCATCCCGGCAGGGCACCAGGGCCCAAGTCCTGGTGGCTTCCCAGACCTACACCAGCGTCCGTCTGTCCAGTCCCTCCTGTGGTGCGGCCTCTTCCTCCCACCAGCCTTGGGTTTCTTCCTGAGGAAACGTGGGAGGAGTTGCCCCGATCCAGACGTCAGGGGTGTGGTGGGAAGGGGGAGCAGGGAATGCCACTGCACCAGCTATTTTTGGCCATTGCTGCCTCCCTACCAGCAG